GTCTTTAAATATATAATATGAACAGTTATTAGCTTTAATTTTGCATAGTATGACTAAAAAGTAAGATAACGAAAAAAAAAATATATTTTTAATAAGGGATGAATAACATATTCATGATATCTTATCAGATTTTCCAGATAACGTTAACCTTTTTAATGTAATAGAAGAGATCTCAAATTAAATTATTAAAAGAGTCGTTTTTTGCATATTAAACCTCAATTGTGTTTCCGAAACCTGAGATGTTAGTGAAAATTAATTTGCGGCATTGTTGTCGCAGCATCCAAAAATATATAAGGAACATCTTGTCTGGTTTAAAATAGTGAAAAAAATTTTTTTCATAACTAATGTTATTAATTTGAAAAAACGGACTCTCTTTTATAATTCTAAAATTAATTATACGCAATCGATAAGCCACAACAACACATAAAATGGAACGTAATTTTACAGTATCACATGATAGTGTTGCGCATGGACTAAAGTTTGGGCGCTAATGAACACGGCGATTAAGCAAATTTATTCCACTTGTGTATCCGAAGGAGAAATATAAATATAAATATATATATATATATATATATATATACATACATACATACATACATACATATATTATTTTTGCTAAAATTGCTTCGTTGATTATATGAAACCGTTGTGGTGGGTTTGCGTCACGATCGAAATCGAAATACGGTATCTATTAATTATGTACAAATTAATAATAATATGGACATTGTCACGTCATTAGGTGCCGCACATTGTATATTTAATAATGTCATTGTGAATTTGCCCTTCATAGTGTCAACTTCGCTCATATTCATTCGGCATGCGGTTGACGCGAATATTATTCAGATAATCGCAGTGTCATACGTGCGAATGATCGAAAAGATATGATTATATGCGCGATTCGAATTCAATTTCTTGCTCAAATGTCTGAATTCTCCTTAAAGCAGTCGATAAATTTTTATTCGCCAATAATTTTTCTTCCTTCGATAACTTAATCGTGCACATAATATTGATGATCACGATGTCTATTTTAAATTAAAAAGAAATTGTTTTAAATTTTTTATTAACGCAATGAAAATCGACACTGATTATTCGATGTCGCGGATGAATTTTTATTTAATCATTGGTGGTGTCACCGGAAACGGACGTCATTGGGGCGACGGTAGACGAGAGCGCGGAGAGGATAACGGAAGTTACAGAAGAGGATAGTGCGATAATAAATATGCCCAGCGCCGGCAGCCATAAATCCCGCGTAATTGAATTTTCAACATCCATAACTGGCCGTCGCTTGGCGCAACCTCAGGAAATAGGACGGAACGGAACGTATCTTGAACGGGAGTTAGATGATTCCATTCCGCTTTTGAAAGGCGCGGCCCTTTTCGACTTTTCCTCCTTTGCTTTCTCTCTTTCTCTCTTCTCCCCTCTTTTTTTCCTTATGACGCGATAGACAGAATGGCAATCGATTCTACGACGTTCATAGTCAGAGACTATTTTTAATTCTCGCCTTTTAGATCGAACCGCGGCGCAATGCAACAAGAGAGGAAAAGAGAGAGGGAAAGAGAAAGCCGACTTTCCTTCTCGCTCTTTTCTTGACTCTTCTGCTTTCTTTGACTCCCAGCGAGGGAAGAGTTCCTTTGACGCGAACATCTAATCAAGGATTTCCTCGATTCTTGAGACTTCGTCCTGCTCGAGAACCTCGCTCTATAGTTATAACGTTCTTCCCCTATCTTTCTCGCTTTCTTCCTCAATTTGACTCCACCTTTTTCCTTCCTTTTCTTTCCTTCTCCTTTTACCTTCGCTCTCGTCCGTCGTCGTTGTCGGCGTTGTCGTCGCACAGATTTGGCGTGGAAAACTTTGATTGTATGTAAGTCAGAAGCGGGAACGAAAAAGGAATATTATGAGGTGGTTGCCATCGATTGTCGACGTTTGCCGAGAGCCGGCTTAAACGCGGTAAAATTTCTGTTGATTGGAAATCCTGTCATTCAATAGCACATATATTTCTCAATCTGCCGATATAGTGATGTATTTACGTAAAAAGCTATGCAGAAGAAGCGCGTGCGGTGAAGAAAATAGACCGAGTAGAAATCGCGTTTATTTGCTGAAAACGAAAATTCCATTCTTAATTGTATTATAGAGTCGATGCGCCAACGTTTTTTTTTCCTACGATAATCTCTTCGTGTTCGGCGCGAATAAATTCGTTTGAAATATGTGAAAAATGATAATTTTTAACATTTTGTAATATCGTCGCGATTTATTTCCGTCGCAATATAAACGAGGCCACTATCTCGAGAGAATCAAGCTTCGAGAAACCTCGAGAAATCGACAACCAGTCGATCGGATGTCAGCTGATCGGTATATGCGTTTATCTACTACCGCGATAACAGCCGGAGATCCGGAAAGTGCCATAACGTCAAGGATAATGATAAGCTCTCTCCCGGCGGCGAGAAACAAATGACGTACTAACTGCATATTAACCGAACTGCCTAAATTATCTGTGAAGCCCGCCTATGATCCGTTTGTTCAATGATCCGCACCGCGCAATTCACTGCCGTTTCACAGACTGGACTAAATTTTCTCGACCGACGCGCCGGGCACGTAATCACCTTGTCTTCCCTGATGGATTAGGATACTCGTTGATGGAAACAATTATCGACAGCATGCCGGTTGACCGGGATTACCCGAAATCGTTCAATTAGCATCCTTTTGCGCTATTCGCGTCAACTCGTCGGAATCACATTAATTATTTATTTTATCGTCATCCGCAAATTCAAATGAAAAATTGTTATATTGTGTTTCAGGTGGTGTAGAAGCTTCGTCCGCTATGGTCAAAGTCCCGGAAATAAGGTAGGATACATTCTTTTTGGCGAATAAAAAATATTATCCCACCGCGCAATGTTCTTTTCGAAAGAGCGCGATTCTTTCTAGTTTCCGTCCGTCAGATTTCAAAGTTCTTTGCTGCGCTTCGGTAGTTGTATATTTCGCGAGACGCTCCATGCGTATATATATATATATATATACGTATTCATGGAACAATGTTTCTTGCTCGCAAGAAAGTTAGACAGTAAGTTAGCACGCTGTCGCGCGTTATTCATTACCTTTGTTCCTTCTGCGCGATCGTATTCCGGGCAATCGCGAAAAAAAATACGTCGTACAAGACCCAAGATCAACCAAGCTTACTCGTCTCGCTGTTATAGTATTCTTAAAGTTGGACATTTATGATGAAACTGACTTTTAATAATTATTTTCAACGATGTTTTTTACGAGTAATATATTGACAGTTTTTAAATAAATTTCTTATTTCTAATTATTATTATGTATAATATATATTATTAGATAATCAATGATTTTAAAATAAAGTAATATTTATTAATTCATGTTTTTTGAAATGCATATACATATATCACAGATAATAATACAATATCGACGGAAATATGCATAGTAGCAATTAATTAGCATAGCAATCAATATTACCGAATCGAGGTACATCGAAGTACGCTGAAAATAGCATGAAGATAGCAAATAAAAGATAACAAATATGGCATAACGTATTTTCTACGAAATATATATTGCGGGAACATGTTTCATGACACACGTAGAGCGCTATTTTCTGTGAACGGTACTCATATAGCGTATCGCTTTCCCTCGGCAGAGAACGGAAATCCGCGGGGCGAATTAAGGGGATCAAGATAACGAGAGAGTAAGGAGATCCTCTCAATTTTCCGTAACAAGCGCCCGTCCAAAGGGCGCTCATAAAAAAGGGATACGTCTCCGTGATAGCGCATAGAGGAAAGCGTACATTATGCGAAAATCTTTATATTCGATAAATGTAAAATTTTTATAGAGAACGATATTTTTTAATTACATAGGAAATCAACAATTTTTACGTATCAATAATTGAACTTATCATCGAGAACTAATTCGATTGCGGGATAAAATTTGAAATGCGATCGACGATTAGTAGAAGCCTCGGTCTTCTCACGAGCGAGCAATTTCTCAGCTGGAGTTGATTTGTAGGACAATATTTTTCCCAGACTAAAAGATAACACATAAACGCGAACGTGCCGTGGTATTCTTCGGAGCTGTCTTCGAGTTGTGCTCGTCTTTTTTTCTTTGCTCTCTTCTCTCATCCTCGCTCTTCTTACCGACTTTCTTTTCTATCCGGGCTTCCTCCGCGCTTCGGGTGGCACGTGACCTCGTTCCGAGATAAGACAATGTTTCTCCACTCTCGGAGGACAGAAAGAGATCTCTATCTACTCTATTCACCCAGTAGATAAGTCGTTCTTTGTTCACAGACGGATAGAAAATTTACACTATCTAAAATGATTGATTCGTTGCGATCCTTGGTTTGATTTTCAGAATATCAAAAGAACTATTTTGTCTGTAATTTTGTCAAAAGAGCTATTTTGTTTGTAATTTTGTCAAAAGAGCTATTTTGTCTTTTTCTTTTAAATACAGCATTAATTTTATATAAAAAAACCTTTTTCAAAACATAAATATTTTTTTTACCAAGAGAAAGAGAAAAAGAGAAAGGTAGAGAGAGAAAGAAAGAAAAATTATTGCAATATAGGGGACATGGCATTGAAAATAATACAAGAAGATATAAGAAGAAAAATATAAAAAGAAATATAATAGAATAAAATAAATATTTTTAAACAATATAGAAAACTCAAAATTATGATTTGCTTTTCTATAGAATCTGTTTTCCTAGATATTTTGAATCCAACAAATTTATGATTATTTTTAAGTATAGACATTTTTCATTATTATGTTAATAAAAGATCAAGACAAACAATTTTATTCAAAAAGTTTTCACATTTGTAATCAACGATCAATAAAAAATAAGCCAGTCAGTAAGGATGGCAGCACAAGACGGACTTTCATACTCTGCCATCTTTGATAAATTATAGAAAGCATGGTGCAATAAAAATTAATTAAAAAAAAAATTGAATTGCATGAGGATAAATGTATTATTAAGAATATGGAAAAATTTGGGAAGAAAAAACTTTTATATTTGCTCAGAATTATATTTATATAATACCTTGACATGTATAAACTATAAACAATAATACGCGATCGTTTTTTATTCGCGAGTTTGCTTTCACAAAACAAAAAGAGAGAATTTCCATCTATATTTTTTTATACAAATAAAATATCTTTTAAGAGAAAAGAATATCTAGGCAAGTTGATCAATATTGTATTCGTGACACGACCGATCGACATTCTCTCGACTATCGTCATCGACGATACTTAATGAACATCAGTGAGATTATGATTCTTCAGCAGTAATTTTCTCGGTTTGCGTCGATACGGAATCTTCGGCTACAGGTTCGCGGATTCCCATCCATTTGCAGCGTTTTTGTAATTCTTGTCGATATCTAAACAATGCAAAAATTATTAGATTAAAAAATATTAATTGAAAGAAATTATTTTTGCATTAATTATTTAGTCAATAAACTATTTCGATTATCAAAATTAACAACTGTCCGAAATTTCGGTTAAAAATTATTTTTGCATTAATTATTTAGTCAATAAACTATTTGGATTATCAAAATTAACAACTGTCCGAAATTTCGGTTAGAAATAATAAAATGTTAGAAACATATATAGATGCATTACCTAGGATGATTAATTGCGTATATCCATGGATCGATACACGATACCGTCTTGGCGAATATGGCTGGCAACATAGTCGAGAGTGGAGTAAGCATTTCGCTATAACACACGTAAAACAAGATCGATTTAAAAATAGAAAAAAAACTCTTTGAAAAAATAATTTTGGAAATAGACCGTCTTACCGATTTCCATAGACTCCCGTTAAAGCAACGACCGCGTACGGTGTCCATGCGAGTACAAAGAGGAAGAAAATCGTAAAAGCAACTTTCGCGATTCTCATCTCGACGCTCCTCTCTTTGTCTTGGTTTGAAACGAGCGACTTGACGTTCATCTTCTTGGCCTGTGCACACGCAATACGCCGGTAAAAATGGAGTCCCCCGCAAATTGCATACTTTATCGTGACGTCAAAGAAGAAGATTACGAAGCACAAAATTGTTACTTACTTGGTTGCGAAGCATTTTCTCATGAGTGCGAATAGACTTTAGCAACTGCGAATAAAAAATAAATAATCAGCAGCATAGGAAGGACATACGCCCAGAAAAATATCGTTATCACAAAAGTTCTTGTATCCTCATTGTCCGTAAGATAATCAAAACTGCACGTGGTGAGGAAACCCTCTGAAAATTATACGAATCACTAAATATTTTTCTTAGTAAAAATGTTTCATGTTTCTAGAAAATGTAATAGTAAAATAATCCAAAACACACCTATATTATATTATTTTGATAAAATAAACATTTAAATAATATATGAAATAAAAATATAGATTTAATTAATAAAGATTAATATATAATTTTAACTATTCGGAATTAAAATGTAGAGATGCAAAAGTTAATTTTTTTATTATATTTTTTTTATATGTCAATATTATATTTTGTTATATATATATAATGGAATAGTATTTGTTCACCTGCCACATATTGACCCCATAATCCCGTCATGGGCAATATCGAGAAGGGTAGTGCCCAGAACCACGTAAAGAGAACTAACACCATAGCTTGCTTTCCGTTTAGTCTACCGTCAATCGGACAGCTAATTGTTCTGTAATATCAAGCATTATATATACATACATTATATAGTACAGCCTATTGTACTTATTGATTACAAATTGCCTAATCATAAATTCTGAGAAATCTTTACTAGATTGTAAAATCTTTTATTTTATTTCCCAATCTATATTATCGATATTATAATCCCCGAAATAATAATCGTTTGTGATAAATTCACAGATTGCTAAATTTTAACAAATAGCTATAGCTATTTTTCCATTGATATTATCCAATAATAACTAATAAAAATTATAAAATTATATGAGATTGACCATACTGACCTGTATCGATCGAAAGCGATCGCCGCATTAGTGATCGCTTGTCCCATTCCAGAAATCGCACCGAGTAATGCATATACATCACATCCGGTTTCCCAACCAATTGTTCGTTCTAAGAAGCTGTTTATAATTAACAAAGGCATTTCCGTTGCCATCAGTAGATCGAATACGGCCAAATTCAAGACGAATAAGTTCGATGGCGTTCTCAATGATTTTGATCTGAAAATTATATCTAGAAATAAATATATTTATACATCGTGCATTGATTAAATTTTAAATAAAATTATTTTTTTATTAACAATGAAATAGAGAATATGCGATATAATATTTTCCATTGCATGATATGTATGTCGCAAACGGTGCCGAAACGATTCAGTTGCATGTATAGAGATGGCGGCAGCACTACCATATTGCAGTTTACGATTAATCAATAAATAAAAAAATATTCTAACTTGTCGAATTTAAAAAAACACAGAAAATTTCGAAATAATTGTGTATGTAATTTTATATAGCCATTAAAATTAAAATTACAATTATTTAGTTATGTAATAAAAGATATAGTAAATCGTAAAATATAATGCTTTAGAAATACATCAAATAGTTTAATTTTTTAAAATAGCACAATTTGCTCTTAATTTCTTTAATTTTTGCTTATAATTAGCTTTCTTAATTTGTGACTTTATAGCATTTTCAAATTATTACGGAATTAAGTTTCTTGAACAATGCAAACTTACGTGCTGAAAATCCAAATGACAATGCCATTCCCGACGAAAGAGAGCATTAAGAGCAAGAGGTAAGTAAGCGCAAGAGCGACATGCCATAATCTTCCGGGTGCGAGAAATGCGCGCCAATGCGGATGCACAAGGTCCGCGTGCTCGGCAGGAAAGTTCCATCCTAGAAATCGTTCTTGTAACGGCTGTACATCCCTGTTATTCAAAAATACACGGGCTAATCAATATTTGATTATCGAGTTACAGAAATTTGCAAAACTCTTCGAGCGTATAAATAAAGCTTCTGTGATATACAAATTAAATAACGAGAGCTTATTGTCTGTTTAAATTCAGTGAATCTGATTTCTCTCAAAATTTTAATCTGAGATTTAATTATCAGGATGATTAATATTGAACATTGAAACATTATCTCGCAAAATTTTCTATAAACCAGAATTGGTTTCGAATTTAGCGGAGGCTCTATATATCATTATAAGTTTAACGTTGAATTTTTTAGATTTTACTTAAAAATTTGCTTTTAAATAAAAAAAGAACATGATTAATGCAATGACAGCTGACTCATAAAATAATTATTTCTTAATGTAAGTGTTGGATTAAACTGCGAAAGAACAAATTGCCGAATTGCCATCTCAAGAGATTGAACAAACGGCCAAGAATTTCCATAAGACTTATGTGAGGGTAATTTCTGTCGCTTCCTTCGTGACCGACATTATTACTCCGTCACGACATCGCAAATGTAAAGCAGGTTGTAGGACAAATAGCTTTCGCGTCAACGATAAGAATTGCGACTTTCCCGAATAAGACGACCCGCAAATTCGCTGTATCGATCCCAGTGCGACGCAATACAAACGTGATCCATTTACGCGCGGCAAATTTGTTCATTTCGACGATAAAATCGCCGCTGATATAACCAAAAGAACATTACATCACGTGAAGTTGTGACGTATTAAACGAACGAACTTAACAATATAACCGCATATAGCTGAGACTTATATGGGTATGAATAAATCGTAAAATATTTCGCGTCCGCGTGCAGTCGATATTATATGTATTATTATCGTCGGCATTGTTATATCTTCGTTGCAGTGTCTGCCGGCGGTTTATGAAAAAAAAAAAAAAAAAAAAAAAAAGAAAATTCTCATTCATCGCGTGGAAAATGATGCGCCTTCACGTACAGCTAACATTAATGATGTTGAAAGCGAAACGTTGTGTCTGCACCATCGGTGGATTAAATTTGGCCGCGCGTTAATTGGGACGTCGAGTGGTTATTAGTCTTCCTGATCTGATATCGGGAGATCGAAGTAGCATAACACTATAATGTGCGCACACGATTTGATAATCCGTCTATCTTTCGGCCGTAAGATAACTTGTAAGCTTCCCCTATCATATCGCGATCTTATCCGAGTATAACGCATCTATGTTTGCGAATGCATATACACGCGTTTGCCTTGAAACTTTCGTCTCTCTCGCTCGCGTTTCTATCTCTGACTCGCTCTATCCTCTCTGGTGACGCAGTATTATCCCCGCATCGGCGGCACTTCACAGCCGCTGCAGAATGTCAAATGATTATGCAGAAAGATGATACGTCGTCACACCTACCCGACTCTGCTAGTGAAAGCCAATGGCCCGGCTACGATACCGCTAATGTTGTGCATCAACATTCTTCGATGCGAGTCGAGTCGTGAGCTGACAAACTGACAGGTCGATGCTCCGCTTGACGCACTCCAGATAAAGCTCGACTAGTTCTCCGAGTTGACTCGCGAACTCGAGCGGATGAGGATGTTGGACGACGTCGATTTCTCCCTTTTCTCGTTCTCGCCCGATCGACCACCGGCGCGCTCGGACACGGATGACGAGTTCTGTACACTTTAAAAGCAGTAATAGCCGCGAGAGATTCCTCCTAGATTGAAGTGAGACGCGGCGCGAAGGGATGGGCGCACGTTCCGCAACTCACTTGTCCGGCCGCGTCGTTATCGCACCCTTTTATACATCCACGACATTTCGGATGGCGTGCAAGTTGAGAGCTTAATTCGATTTGTGATTTACCGAATGCGAGAAACCTTTTGCTAGGACGCAAAGCTCCCGTCCGTCACGCAAGCGAGCGATCCTCGCCGCGCGATTTCTTTCTGCGATGTATCGTAATCTCTGTTCAAGGTAATCGCGATTATTCGATTCGTCGACGTTTTTTTTGTGCGACGTCAGCGTTGAAATACCCCGCTCGCGAATAGTCCGACTTAATAAACTTATCGGCAAAAACCAACTTGGTAACGCTTTATACATGATTGCTATCACCCTGCCGCAGTTAAGAGACGCGAGGTAAATTAATTTCCGCACCAGAGAAGAGAGAGAGAGAGAGAGAGACAGACCTCCCGCGAAGCTAAGTACGCTCATTGCGTATTTATCCTCTGACTAAGCAATATAACGTCGGCTGCAAATATCCATTTCCGACAGAATGGAACGTGTTAAGTGGCGAACGCAGGTTGTTACGACGAAAAAAAGAGAGAGAGCGAGAGAGAGAGACAAAGAGAGGGACCTCTGGCGCCTCAAGCCGGGTTGAAAAAATCGATTTCCGATATAATAAAATGCAATTTACAGAAGCGCGACCGTCCGTTCCGAGTTAATTAAATTTTCGATGTAGATCCTAATCGATATTTTATTTCGCCTTATTGCGATACATCCGTCACCGATAACTGCGTAATCCATTTAAAAAAAAAGAAAAAAAACGTAAACGCAACGCTGAAATCGGCGGCGAAAATTCGAATGGGCGAGTGTGTTTCCCGTTACACCGCGAGTTCGCAGTTAGCCGCAGAGATTTTTCACTCTCGCGGTTATCATGCCGGCGCGATACGCGGGGAAATTCATCTCGAAGAGTGCACCCGGTATACCGTGCAAGCGACGTGTCTCGCGTTTCCATTCGCTGTCCCCGTTCGCGACCGCAGCCTTCACGCATCCACAGGATTAAATCATAAAATTGTCCTGGAACGTTTGCAAAATTGCGCTGATTTACGAGCGATATCGCGACTCGTGTTACTCCCGTTTCTCGCGCAGGTGGTATTCGTAGTTGTTATCCATCTATTCGGTCGGCGATCGTTGGCGACTTCGTTCCCGGCTCTCTCGCAAGATGAACTATCTGCTTTTCATCGGTGAGCTCGATAAAGATTATTCGAATGGGAAGAACACCCGTCATCAGGAAAAAATGCACGCGCGGCGGCAACAGAGCGAGAGAGCAAAATAAAATCAGAATTTAATTGTCCCGGTATACATATGTGAACGCAATGAAAAATACAGTAATATTAAATCGTATCTCACGTGTCGCAGTTGCATTATTCCATTTTTATTAGACGCGATTATTAAATTAGTTATTTTTCCGTATTAAATTAATATTCGATAAATGAAAGTTTTGCTTGAATTTTATAGGAAAAAATAATAAAATGCGCGCGCGTGAATGCATCAACCTAGAATCTTATTAAGGAAAAAAAAAAGAGAATTTGAAACATCGTTGTCCATGAAAGGGAGAGGGGGAAGTAACTGCGGCGGCGTTTTTGCACGATATATTTATGGCTATATTTACGAGCTACATTCGCTCGTGTAATTCACGCGACTTATGAAGCGCCGCTACCATTGTCCGTGATGGAAATTCAGCGGAAAAATTGAATGACAAACAATGGACCTAGTCTGGCTAGATTATGACAACAATGTAAGCGTGGCGAGCAACGTAGCGACGAACGATTGTCTGCGTTTGCAGTTTGCGCTTCTATTTCGCCTTTCACACATGTCGTATGTACTCTTCGCATTTTCGCATGTAGATATACTTTCGCGGTTTATCATTTCTCGATTTTAAACGTCCATCGGTCAATACATTCGGTCTGTCGACAATGGCGCGTCGTAATTAAAGAAATAAACTACATATATCGAATTCGTAAAGCCACAGATAATCGATTTCAAATATTATCTACTGACTTGATAAAACATTACTGCACCTGCCACTATAGAGCCACGCGATATCTCTTGCTTACATCTATTTGCTGCCTTGGTCGACGCCTTCCTCTTTTTCGTATGTTCGTCAGCCAATATCCGATTGCCAGCCGATACAAATAGAGATCGATCATGGCTCTGGTTACGAGCCAACGAGACATGTGCCAATAGAACCGTTTGATTGGACTGTAACCCGTCTTTTTAGGTGATATAACGTATAGTATTCTGTACGTATTTTTTTTTATCCCGACGATTCGATAAGTCACATTTGACGACATTTGATCTGGTGAACGCAATTTTGTGATTTTACAAACGGCGCAAAAGTCCGAAACGGAAGGATAAATTGAATTCCAATATATATAAAAGCACGTTTATATATTTATTATTTGTAACCGGATGTATAAAACACTACAAAAAATACGATAGTTAAAAATAAGTTTTTGGAACGACAACTATATTGACATGTACAATAAACGTTGCTGTGTTAAAGTACATCCACTTCGTTAGGTCATGCGTTTATCATGACCCAAGCGGCAGGACTTGTCACACATTCTCCTTGCAACACACATGAGACCTTAAACTGTTGCCCCTAGTTTGCGCGGATCTGGGTCGCTTTCGGCACAGAGCGAGATAGGAATAGGATATTGATCGGTGTCATAAATATACGAAACTGAAGTATTAATGGCCAAGACTCGTGGGATAAACTGTATCTTACCTCGTTTACCTTTAACCTTTCATTCCCGAATGTCTTCATTCCGTTGCTTCGCCACATCACATTGATTCTCACTCTCCCGTACATATGATCTTTTATTTTCGGTATTCATATATATATATATATATATATATATATATATATATGTATATAAAATCGAGTCACGAGGGACGACGGACAAAGAAATGTAGATTGAAGAGACGGATTAACGAGGATTAACGCCAATTGTGCGGTCGACGATGATAACTTTTCGTTTTTTGCCGTTCTCGCGACGGCAATTCACCGAAACGAATAAATATAAGTGGAAATAATCCCACGGTAGAGTCCCCTCGTTTCCAGACGACCGTTCAATCTTGTGAAGTCGAGATGATTCTCAATGCAACACGAATTGGAGGTTGACACTTTTTTCCAAGTCAAGAGCCATTACTATTATTCAAATTGTCTCATCAAAGTCAGTCACGACGCGTCGTTGTTACGCGTCATCAATTCAGCACCACTTTTAATCAAAGTTCGTTCTTACAACAGGGGAGATTATGATATGCGATCGACCGAGGGGGAATTATTATCGCGGATACGCGCGCGATTTTGGGAGAGCAAGGTATTTGAAGTGCGGTTGACATAAAGAGTAGTACACGAGTGGCTAATTTTTTTTAATTTAACAAACGACGTAATAACAATTTTTTTCAATTTATCAGCATAACAAAGTGCTTCAACGAAATTCCCTCGCTCTTCTTTCGCTTTCTCGCCAGTTACGATATGCAGCGGGCCGTTATATGCGCTTTTATGTCGCGATTATTTTTATGCGAGAAGAGGGAGAAAAGCTATATACATATAGATATAGTGCTGTGGACAATAAAGCGCATTATGCACCTCTCGTGAGGATATCTCTGCGCGCATTCGATGTATACACTTGCATTCTTTCAGAGTATCTCGACGCTCGATGAAAAGAAAAATCCATTCTCTCGCTCCGCATTTTAGGGAAATTTTGCACGAAAGAAACTTAAAAAGCGCGACGGTGACTGATTGTAAAAGTAGTCATTATCGAAATGGAAAGAATACTGCAAAAAAACGAGGCATAGTTGTCCGATACTTTACGACGAACGCAAATTTTTGCCGCCGATTATGCAGGAAGTACGTACCATGTACATACGCGGTCGAGTGATTACGGCTGATTGCACGCGGTGAGTAGATATCCATCGATTGTTGGAAATCACAATTTCCAAAAGCGTAATATCACCCATCGTCCAAAATAAGCGTATTGCATGATGTCGCGAAACGAAATGCACCCATTTGAATAGTAGAGTTGGAATGAAAGAGAGAGAGAGAGAACTGCATATGCATAAATGTATCGAAGGTATCATAATGTTTCTGTACAAGGAGATCACCTATACTTGTATACAATTTGTTGCTACGAATGCTATTTTACATATAAATAAATAATGATAAAACGCTTTTGTAAGCATATATTTCAAAATCATGATAAATAATAGAAAGTAAAGAAAAATGTTTACACAATGACGTATCTATTACAGAAATCATAAGTTGCATAATTTGATCGCGTCAACTTTTATAAATTCTTTCTGAATATCAAATGAATGTAACTGTATATCTCTCTCTCTTTATATATCATTACAAGTCGTTTCGCGAATAATCGTGCAATTCCTTTTTCTTCGGCCGCGTACAATTCCCGATGGAAACACAAACGGCCGCGGCAATTCGATCTTGACATTCGTTGCGGTCGATGCAACTGTAAGCGCAAATGTACTCAAAGCGACAGATCCGACAACCAGAAACGAAGCGCATAGCCGAAACACGGATCGATTTGATCGAACGACTTTGACTCGGCCTGCTCGGAGCAGCCAGCCGGATGATGCTGAATAAAATAGATAGTGGAAATGGATTATCTTGGTCGGCCTCTATACGCGGCGCAATTGCGGCTCGTTGCATCGCGAACATGATTAACGCGTTAGCATTACTCATTATAGTTCTGATAATCGCAAATTCATTAACTATGCATTATTATTTCCTCGGAATCCAATGAAATTATTAGAACAATCAATATGGGAATTGTTAATATCGATATTATATCTATAAGTTTGCTCGGGTATATATTTATTCCATTAGTAACCTCTAATTTTATAAATATAAATATATTTATTTTATTTTATAATATAATATATAAAAAAAAAATTTGATGCATTTATCATTTATGTGCGCGTATATTTTAATATATGTATATTTATTATAATATATAAAA